TTTTGTGAGACATCTTTGCGCTCCTGCTTGTGCTGCTGCTGCTGTTGCGTGTGCTGCTGCTGCCCCTCCCTCTGCTGCCGCTGCCCCCCCCTCCCCCGCTGCTGTTGCTGCTGCTGCTGCTGCTGCTGCTGCTGCAGGTGCGGATAGAGCGGGCAGCAGTGACGGACCCTGGGGACAGCGCGCACTTGGGGGTTTACGGACCCCGCGAGGGTTTAGGGTTTGCGCAAGACGCGTTTGGGGTTTTGAATAGAAAAAGGGACTTTTTGAAACTTTCTTTTCCAACTGTCAAAGACCTCGTGGACGCCAGACTCGAAATACACAGAATCCGTCAGACACGCACTGCCACAAATGCTGCTGCTGCTGCTGCTGCTGCTGCTGCTGCGGCTCTTCTGGTGGTGTTGGTGCTGTACACAGGTATTAATTAATTAATTAAGCATATTAATTAATTAATTAATTAATTAATTATGTAATTAATTAATTAATTACTTGTTTGCTGCAGTTCGGGAAAGTGCGCGGGAGAAAGGGAGAAGGGAGCTGCTGCACCGGCGGCGGTTTGTGGCTGAGGGCGAGGAGACAGAAGGAGACACAGCAGCAGCAGCAGCAGCATCAGCAGCAGATGGCAGCAGCAGAGATAGAGACCCCCAAGAAGACGCTTTGGGCCTCATTGATGATCTCTACGAGGCGGATGTACTCTACATCACCAGGTCCCGTCTCCCTAGTTTAGGGTTTAGGGTTTAGGGTTTAGGGTTGAGGGTTTAGGGTTTAGGGTTTAGGGTCTAGGAGTCTGGTTGTTGTTGCTGTCTTCAAGCGTCCGTGTCTTGTCGCTTTAAAAACATTGTCTCTGTTATTATTTCTCATTATTTGTTCATTCATAATTTATTTATTTTAAATTAGTTTAATTATCTATTTCGAATTATTTATTTTAATTATTTCTTTTTGACTTCAGATGCTGCATCGACCTGGACATTCGCTGCGGGCGATGGTATTCCATTTCGAGGCAAAAGCCGGACGTCACAGAGCCTCTAAAGGTAAACCCTAAACCCTAAACCCTAAACCCTAAACCCTAAATCCTGCAGCTCAGCTGCTGCTGCTGCTGCATCAGTTGCTGGAGCTGTGGTGCTGCTGCTGCACCACTTGCTGCAGCTGTGCTGCTGCCGCGGCTCGACCTGCTGCGGCGGTGCTGCCGCCGCCCCACTTGCTGCTGCAGCCTCAGCTGCTGCTGCTGCTGCTGCTGCTGCAGCTGGAGGCGCTGGAGGACTTGTCTGCTGCTGCGAGCTTGTCAGTGCTGGCGTTCGACATAGAGTGCTTCAAGCTGCCGCTGCAGTTCCCGGAAGCAGCAAGAGACCCTTTGCTGCTGCTGTCGCTGGTATTCAACGGGCAGGGCTATTTGCTGCTGAACTGCTGCTGCGTTGCTGCTGCTGCTCCTTGCTTCGGCTTCGCCCCGCGCCCCGAACTCAGGGGCCCCGGGGACTTCGTCGTTTTCAATGAACTTTCGGAAAAACTTCTTCTCCAAAGATTTCTCCAACTTCTTCTCAAACTCAAACCCCACATTCTCGTCACTTACAACGGAGACGACTTCGACCTGCCCTACCTCATCAAACGCGCCCAAGTCCGCTGTTTTGCTGCTGCTGCTGCTGCTGTTTTGCTGCTGCTGCTGCTGGTGTTGTTTTCGTTGTTGTTTTGCTGCTGCTGCTGCTGTTTTGCTGCTGCTGCTGCTGGTGTTGTTTTTGTTGTTGTTTTGCTGCTGCTGCTGTTCTTGTTTTGCTGGTGTTGGTTTTGCTGTTTTGCTGCTGTTTGTGTTGTGCTGTTGTTGTTGCTGTTGCTTTTGTTATGCTGCTGTTGTTGTAGTTGTTGTATGCTGTGCTGCTGCTGCTCTGCTGCTGCTGCTGTTGCTGTGCTGCTGCAGCTGATCTTCTCTTTCATTATTACAACAATTGTCTCCTTTTGAAAAAGACAAAAGCAGCCCGTAGCCGGCTGCCCAGCCCCCAAACCCTAAACCCTAAACCCTAATCCCTAGACTGGTGTTTCTTTTCAGGTGCTAGGCGTCGACTTTCTGGGGACTTTAGGACTGCAGCAAAAAGAGCTGGGGGGCCCCGTAGTTGGAATAGGGCCTTTAATTCATTTAGACGCTTTTAAGTGGGTAGAAAGGGACTCCTACTTGCCCCAGGTTCGCCAAAACCCTAAACCCTAAACCCTAGACTTCAGGCCTTCAGCTCTTAAGTGGGTAGAAAGAGACTCTTACTTGCCGCAGGTTCGCCAAAACCCTAAACCCTAAACCCTAAATACTAGGCCTTCAGCGTTTTGCGGGTCGAAAGGGACTCTTACTTGCCCCAGGGCTCCCCAAACCCTAAACCCTAAACCCTAAACCCTACGCAAATAAGTGAACAGGAGGAGTCAATTAAAGAGGCCGAAAAACCAAATTGAATAGAAACTCTTTTAATTAATTAAACAATCAATCAATTTGTTTGAATAACTTAATTATTTAATTAATTATTTAATTAATTAATTTTATTCAATTTCTTTTTTAGGGTTCTCGAACTCTGAAGACAGTTTGCAAAGCCAAACTTGGATTTAATCCCGTCGAAGTCGACCCCGAAGACATGGCGAGTCTTTTTCACCCTTTTAGGGTTTAATGTCTCTCTTATTAACATCCTTTTATGGTTTTCAAGGACGGCTTGAGTGTTTCTTTTTGAAGCTTTTTTATAGCCTTTCTTGTCTCTTTTTAAAACTCATTAGGAGTCCCTTTTGTATTTTTAAAACACTTTGAGGCTCTCTTTTGTTCCTTTTTGGTTTTTTCAAGGGCCTCTTTTGTCCTTTTTAAGAACCCTTTTTTGGGGTTTCTGTCTAGGATCTTCAAAGACGTTCTGATTTAATTGCTTTCTTTTTTGTTTAATTGTTTCACTTCTTTTGTGTGATTGTTTGGTTCCTTCTATTCAACTGTGCTATCTTCTTTCATTTAATTCTCTTATCTGCTTTATATCACTCTTTTGCCTCCTTTGGCCTTGATCTTAGGGTTTAGGGTTTAGGGTTTAGGGTTTAGGCATCCCATTCTACTGCCACCTCTCCGGCTGCAGCTCTCAGCTCGCACTTTTTTTTCGACCAGCTAAACCAGATTAAATTAAATTAAACAATTTAATTATTTAATTTAAATTTAATTTATTTACTTTATTTTCTTTCCGCAGGTCCCCATGGCCCAAAACGACCCCCAGCGACTTTGCGTATATTCCGTCTCCGACGCTGTCGCCACTTTTTTGCTTTACGAGAAATTCATCCACTCTTTCATTTTGGCCCTTTCCTCCATCATCCCCATGGCCGTAAACCCTAAACCCTAAACCCTAAACCCTAGATTCCTCCACTCTTTCACTTTCAACCTTTCCTGCATCATTCCCATGGCCGTAAACCCTAAACCCTAAGCCCTAGATTCCTCCACTGTTTTATTCTATCGCTTGCCTGCATCATCCCCATGGCCGTAAACCCTAAACCCTAAACCCTAAACCCTAGATTCCTCCACTCTTATTTCATGCCTTTCCTCCCTCCCCCCCATGGCCGCCCCTACTGCTTTCTCTGCTGCTGCTGCTGCTGCAGCTGCTGCCGCAACACTTGTGTCTCTCGCTTCAACCCTGCTGCCTCGCTGCTGCTGCTGCTTTTGCTGCTGCTGCTGCTTTTGCTGCTGCTGCTGCTGCTGCTGCAGCCGGAGTCTGTGTTGCGTCAGGGGAGCGGGACTTTGTGCGAGAGTTTGCTGATGGCGGAAGCAACAAAAAGGAGAATTTTAATTCCAAATAAACACAAAAGCAGTTTAGTGGAATTCTTCAAAGACCCCCAAACCCTCAAACAGCACCTCGTCTTCGAACAGTCCTACGTCGGAGGCACCGTCGAGTCTCTCCGCTGCGGCCTGTGAGGGTTTAGGGTTTAGGGTTTGGGGTTTGGGGTTAGGGGTTGGGGGTTGGGGGTTGGGGGTTTGCTGCTCGTTGTTGGGGTTTCGGTGCGGGGTTTTGGGTTCAGGGTTTGTGGTTTAGGGTTTGATTTAGCCGCTTTCTAGATGCTTGCTTTGCTAGGGTTTAGGGTTTAGGGTTTAGGGTTTAGAGGCTAGAGTTTAGGTAAAATTCATTTTGTTGATTTGTTGCAAGAGGCCTTGCTGCTTGCTTGTTTGCCTCTGGGTTTACATAAATAAAAAATTAAAAATAAATTAAAAATTAGGAGATAATTAAAAATGAAAAATAATAAATAATTAATAATTAAATATTTTTTTTAAGGGTTTATTTATTTTCAGCTCCTGACTCTGAGTGTCTCCTTATTGCCGTCTTAGTGTCTCTCCTCCTGCATCTGCTGCTGCATCTGCTGCTGCCTCTGCTGCTACATCTGCTGCTGTATTTGTCGCTGCTGGATCATCTGCTGCTGCAGGACCTGCTGCTACTGCTGCTGCATTTCGCCTGCTGCTGGATCTGCTGCTGCTGCCGCATCTCACCTGCTGCTGGATTTGCCGCTGCTGCTGCTCACCTGCTGCAGCACCTCACCTGCTGCTGCTGCATTTTGCCCGCTGTAGCAGCTCACCTGCTGCTGCTGCAGCAGCTCACCTGCTGCAGCAGTTCGCCCGTTGCTGCTGCTGCAGCACCTCACCTGCTGCCGCACCTTACCTGCTGCTGCTGCTGCTGCTGCTCAGTTACCGGTCAGACTTGAAGGAGAGTTTCGCAATGGACAGCAGCAAACTGGATTTGCTGCTGCAGCTGGCGGAGCCTTGTCTGCAGCACTTTCTGGCGGATGCTGCTGGGGGAGGGGGTTTAGCTGCTGCTGCAGTGGCGAATGCAGCAGCAACAGTTGCAGACATAAAGCAGAAGCTGCTGCTGCTCAAAAACAAACAAAACCATCTTTTAAATCCTTTAATTCTCCACTTTGATGTTTCTGCAATGTACCCAAACATCATCATTTCGCAAAGGCTCCAGCCAGCAGCTGTCAAGACACCCCAGCAGTGCAGGGAGTGCCCCTGGTTCGACAGAGGTAGCTTCATTTCTTTTCTTTTTTAACTAATTAATTAATTAATTAATCAATTACTTAATTAATTAATTAATTAATTGATTTGTTTTTTGTTTATTTGTTCATTATTTGGCTGATTGTTTATTTGTTTATGTATTTGTTCATTTGTTTTCTGGTGTTTGTTTTGCTGCTGGTAGACAGAGGCGGCTTCATTTCTTTATTTTTATTATTTATTTATTTCTTAATTAATTAATTAACTAATTAATTAATTTGTTCATTTGTTATTTATTTACTGTTTGTTCATTTATTTGTTTGTTTATTTATTTGTTTATTTTTCATTTTCTGTTTTATTTGATTGGATTTTTTCCAGTGGCCAAATTAAACACTCTTTTTAATCTCAATTAAATTCCCTCTTTTTAACTTTAAAATTAAATCTCTCTTTTTGTCTCAAAAATAGTTCAATTAAATATCAATTAATGATATTTGAATAATTATTTTTGATTAATTGTTTAATGATAATTGATTAATAGTGATTAAATTATAATAATTGATTAATAATAATTGAATTATTATAATTAAATCAAAATAATTGATTAAATTATAATAATTGACTTAGTGAGAAACTGTCTCCTTTTGGCTTTGTGGGGAAGTGTCTGTCTTTGTGTATGCTACTGCTGCTGCGTATTTTGCTGCAGCCTCCTTTGCTGCTGCTTTGTCTGCTGCTGTTGCTTGGTTTGCTGCTGCTGGTTTGCTGCTGACTCTTTCGCTGCTGGTTTGCTGCTGCCCAATCTGCTGTTGCTGCTTGACCTGCTGATGCTGGCTTGCTGCTACTTCATTTGCTGCTGCTGGTTTGCTGCTGCTGCTTCATTTGCCGCTGCTGCTTTGCTGCTGCTGCTTCATTTGCCGCTGCTGCTTTGCCGCTGCTGCTTCATTTGCTGCTGTTTGGATTTTCGGTTTCCCCAACAAACTGTCGGGAGCATTTGTTGAATCTGCAAGTAGAGTGTAAAATCCGAAAGAGGATACTTAAATTTTGAAAAGACATTTTTGCATTCAATTGCTGCTGCTGCTGCTGCTGCTCCTGCTGCAGCTCACGAGTGCCAGCGGAAGCTTCCGTGGAGACGCAAAGTGGAAATGAGTCCAGCAGATAAAGGAGAAGTTTTGGCGCTGCAGCAAAGTTTGGCGACTTTGCTGCACGGGGCTGCTGACAGCAGCAGCAGCAGCAGCAGCAGCAGCAGCGCAGCAGCAGCAGCAGCAGCGGCAGGGGACACGGACGCGGAGAGTGAAGCGAATGATGTGGAGTCTGGAGAAGAAGAGGAAAAAGATGAAAAGAAAAATAAAAATAATTCAAAGGGGACTTTCAAATCTTGGCATGAATTGACAGAAAAGCAAAAACACGAAATCCTCATTAAAGCCGTCAAAAAATACTCCCAAAGGGCCCACAAAAAGACCAAAATCGTCAAAGTGAGGCCCTAGGGTTTAGGGTTTAGAGTTTAGGGTTTAGGGTTTCGGGTTTGGGGTTTGCGGGTGTGCAATCTGGCATCTGACAATTCCTGAGGCAGGGCCTTTGTGTGGATCCATGCTCACCTAGGCTTTAGGGTTTAGGGTTTAGGGTTTAGAGTTTAGGGTTTAGCGTTTAGGGTGAGTGTTTGGGGTTCAGGAACTTGACGAGGAGTCCATTGTTTGCCAACGGGAAAACCCTTTTTACGTGGAGACAGTAAAGGCCTTCAGAGACAGGAGATACATTTTCAAGAAAAGATTAAAAGAAGCTCAAAACAAACTGCAGCAGCTGCAGCAGCAAAACGGACCTTTCCAGGCAAAGAAAGAAGCTGCCGTGAGGCCTCACCAGCAGCAGCAGCAGCAGCTGCTGCTGCAGCAGCAGCAGTATTAGTGGCAGTAGCAGCAACGGCAGCAGCAGCAGTAGCAGTGGCAGAAGCAGCAACAGCAGCAGCAGCAGAAGCAGCAACAGCAGCAGCAGCAGCAGCAGCACCAGCAACAGCAGCAGCAGCAGCAGCAGCAGCAGAAATAATCTGTTTCAAGTATTTTTTATAAATCCCTTTTCTCAAGCAATCCCACTGTCCTCCCTTTCTCTCCAATTCCCTTCGAGATTCCTCCATTTTCCTCATTTTTTCTCGTTTTCCCTCAATTTTGGTCCATTTTTGCTCATTTTTTCTCCATTTTTCTGCATTCCCCCCCTCTGTTTCTCAAGTATCCTTCTAAAATAAAAAGCCCCATTAAGTGCTTTTCAAAAACATGCAAGCCGCTCGAAAACTCTGCGAAAATGCGTGTCTAGAAGTGCGTTTGGGGCGTTTGCAGGACGCGGTGTTGCTGAACGACTCTTTGCAGTTGGCGCACAAGTGCATTTTAAATTCTTTTTACGGATATGTCAAAAGACCTGCTGCCAGATGGTACTCCATTCAAATTGGAGCAATTGTCACAAAGATGGGAGCTGATATCATTCAAACTGCAAAGTGAGCTGCTGCTGCTGCTGCTGCTGCTGCTGCTGCTGCTGATTACGGTGATTATGGTGGTTGTGGTGGTTATGGTGGTGGTGGTTGTGATGGAGATGGTGCTCCAAATTGGAGCAATTGTCACAAAGATGGGAGCTGATATCATTCAAACTGCAGAGTGAGCTGCTGCTGCTGCTGCTGCTGCTGCTGCTGCTGCTGATTACGGTGATTATGGTGGTTGTGGTGTTATGGTGGTGGTGGTTGTGATGGAGATGGTGGAGATGGTGC